ATCATTTATTGCAGATTGTGATCGAAGAACAGAAGTGGCTAAGAAAAGATTAGCAGAAACTCAAGAAGAGATTAGTGCTGAAGTGGCTGCAAAGGTAAGAATCTACATCATTAGGACAAAGTGTGTTTCTTTTTGTTTGGTTTCTTTTTTTTTTTTTTTTTTTTGAGATAGGGTCTCACTATGTAGTTCAGACTAAATTTGAACTGTGTAGCCCGGGCTGGCCTCGAATTCATGGCAATCCTACCTCAGCCTCCCAAGTGCCAGGATTACAGGCATTTGCCATGATTCCTGGCCAGAGTGTTGTTTCTTACTACCTCTGTTTAGCTTTTTATTTTGAAACAGTTTTTTAGGAGATTACAAAGACATTATAAAGAATTCCTTGTATACTTTATTTTGACTGCCCCAACATTAACATCTGAGACAACTGTAATAGGATGTCATAGAAATAGACATTGGTCTAATCCTTACTTGTATTCAGCATGCACTAATTATGCACACATGCATTTGTGCTTGCATGCATATGTGCATGGTTCTGTGCAATTTTATCACATGTAAACTTGTGCACCTACCACTTAATTAAGATGCTTAGCTGTAGGGTTATCACCAGGATTCTCTCAGTTACCCCTTTAATAGAAGCATCCATCCCCTAATCCTTACTCCTTGGAAATTGTGAATCTATTCTTCATCTCTTTAATTATTTCATGAATGCTATGTAGTATAATTACACATTATCCTTTTGAGATTGGCATTTTGAAAAGCCACTGTTACCTTGACGTTTGTCCAAGTTGTTTTAGGAGTTCATTCCTTTTTATTTTTAAGTAGAATACCATGGTGTTAGATATACCACAGTTCACATAAGCACACATTGGAGGACATTTGGGTTTTCTATTTAAAGGCTATTAACAAAACTGCAGTAACCATTTGTGTATAGATTTTTGTATTGACATATGTTTTCATTTCTTTAGGATAAATGCCCAAGAATGCAATGGCCGGGTCGTAATATAAATCTGTTTTTAGTTTTGAGAGCAACTGCCAATGTTTTCTAGAGTGACTGTACCATTTTACATTTCTTCCAGCAATGTGTGAGTGATACAGTTTCTCCATGTTTGTGCCAATATTTAATGGCAACCATGTTTCAGTTTTTATCTGTCCTGTAGTGATGTCCTATTGTGGTTTCAATTTGCATTTTCCCCATGACTAACGATGTTGGATGTTTTTTCACCTGTATACTTGCTACCTATATGTCCTCTCCAATGACATATCTTCTATTGATCTCTGGCCTATTCTTTAACTGATTTGTTGGCTTAAATGTTTTTTGAGTGTTCTTTGCATTTTGACTCACTATAAATGTTTTGTGAACATGTTACCTGCTACAATTATAGGAAAAGTACAATGAATCCAGCACCAAGTTTCAAAGCCTTTAGTTTTCTGTGATTGTTTCATTGTTGCCTTATTTGCTTTTGAAAGCAGATTCTGTCATGGTTTTGCTGTAAAAGGACTGACCACAGTAGCACTCCCAAATTAACAGTATTTTTAAATGCTAGTACTAGATATGTTCATTTCCTATATAGAAGTAGTTTTTGTATCTTGATCTAAACCTGGTTTTATGTATTGAATTTGGTTGGCTTATGACTTTCTGCTTTATGTTGTGGTTCTGTACCAGTCGTTATAATTATGTTGCGTTTAGGAAAATGCATAATGGGAGAATTTCTCAGGTAAAGTTCAGGTGACAGCATTCAGATACAGTGTCCATATATGTATGCACAAAAGGAAGTAGGTTTTCTGTTTGAGAAAGGTTACTTTTAGTTAGCCTATTCTTTCTTTTTTTTTTTAGCCTATTCTTAAAAGTTCTCAAAAGACTGAAACTATTAAGATGCGTATCCTGAACTGCAAGCCGCCTAGTATCTCTCTCTCTCTCTCTCTCTCTCTCTTTTTTGGTGGAACTGGGGATTGAACTCTAGCCCTTGCGCTTGCAAAGGAAGCACTTATTCTACTGAGCCATCTTCCAGCCCCACCACCTAGTATGTCATGATTAGGAGGTGCACAAATGTTTACTAGGCCCAACCCAGTTCGTTGTACAGCCTTGTATTGGTTATTTATCATTGTGGAAGTTCTGTGTAATAAAACTACCTCAAAACTCAAGTTCCTTAAAACAGTATATATTTCCTCCATTTATCTGTAATCAGTGACTTAAACTGATCTTGACGGGATACTTATTCCTGTATCAGCTGGGTATATCCTGTCACATGTACCGATAATGTTCAGGAGGCTGCCTGGCTGTATGTGTTCTCATGGTCCTGGCAGAGCTGCAGAAGCATTATGCCTGTTTTTCTTTTTCTTTTTTTTTTTTTGTTATACCAGGGATTGAACTCAGGATCCTGCACTTACCAGGCAAGTGCTTATTCTACTGAGCTATCTCCCCAGGCCCGCATGATGCCTGTTTTCTAAAGGATTTTCAAGACTTCTTGGGTCATGTTTGCTACCATCCCAGTAACCAATGCAAGTACATGACCAAGTTCAGAGGAGTACAGTGGTATGCTGCCCAGTACGTGGCAAAGGGCCTGGATACAAGGAAGGGTGAAGATCCCTGGGCATTAATGCATCATTCAGTGGCAGCAATGTAATGATAGTAAGAGTTGAGAATGTCTTTGAAGGAAGGAGTACTTTGGATTAAAAGACCTGAGAAATAAAAACAGTATGCTAGTCAGTTCAGATTGAATGTCCATATCACATTAAAACTCTGCTAATATAGTTGGCCACCTAGCAGATTGAATACTTGTTTTGTAATTAAAACAGAGATTATGAGACTGGGCGTGGTGGCACATGCCTGTAATCCCAGCTCTTGGGAGGCTGTAAACAGGTGGATCACTAGTGGATCACTATGAGTCCAAGTCTGACCTGTAGTGAGACCCTGAACACCCTGTAAACTCTTCCCTAGAATTTAAATAAAGAAAAAAACAAAACAGATGATGTTGGCACATCTTATGTCATTAAATGGGATGAACTAGTTCCTTAGGATGATGATGGTGCTGATGACTTTATCAAATGTGGGACAAAAATTAATCTAGTAGAACTGAAGCAGGGGCTAGCCTACTAGTATATTGAGACTGCTGCTGTGCTGTGTGGGTGCAAAGTATGTGTTCTCATGATTTTGTGGGATGGGTTTTATCTCTACTTTTCAGAAGAGGGAATATATTCGGGTTTAAGTAGGTAGCCAGAATTGCGTAGGTAGTCATTGATTCAACAATAATTCATATCTGTAGGACTCTAAACTGTGTTTAAATGTTGCTTTATAAAGAATATCCACCAATTCCTTTCTCTAGCTCATAACTGAGCCCTGTGCTATTTGTTGTGCACTGGAGACGAGAAATTCAAAAGGCTGTTGTAAAGAATGCCGTTTGTACAAGTCGTTTTCTGAAAAGATACAAAGGGGAGGTTACTATCATCATCTATTCTTGGGTGTTTCAATGGAGAGGGGATGAGGTGATTGGTCTTCATCTAGCTCTTGTCAATCAGTGAACATTGAGTAATCAGTCAAGGCAGGTGGGTGGTAACAGCCACATTCCAGGAATTATATGTGAAGTTGCAGGCAAAAAACATCAGGGCAAGTTTGCGAAACAATGTAACGAGATTATTATGTATGAGGTGGAGGAACATTAAGAGGTGCTTTGGGAAAGTGCAGTGGGACAGATTATAGAAGAAATGATATTTTACACTTGGAATATAAATAACCAGAGGCTGGATGGTAGAAGTTACTGAGATCTAGTACCTTGACCTTAGAAGTGAAATTAGGTAGATTTAAAACCTGGTGACCAGGGAGATGGCTCAGTGGAATAAGTACTTGCCTGGCAAGCACAAGGACCTGAGTCCAATCCCCGGTTCTGCAAAAAAAAAAAAAAAAAAAAAAAAAAACCCAAAAAACAAAAAACAAAAAACAAAAAAAACCTGGTATAAGCTGGGCATAGTGGCTCTCACCTGTAGTCTCAGCACTGAAGAAGCTGAGGCAGGCGGATCCCTGTGAGTTTGAGGCCAGTGTGAGTATAAGGCTAACCTGAACTGTATAGTGAAACTCTGTCACAAAAAGACAAAAACAGAAGTATCCTAGTGTTTTACTAGTTTCTTTCATTTATATATATTGGTAACTATTTACAATATATAATGATTACATACATTTTGGAGGATTGGTACATAGACATATTGTACCTAAATCATTTTTGCTTCCCTTTCTATTCCCTGCCTTCTCCTCCCATCCCCAGACTCTTACCCATCTTTTTTTTCACGGTACCGGCGATTGAACTCAGGACCTTGCACTTGCCAGGCAAGTGCTTATTCTACTGAGCTATTTCCTTGGCCCACCCTTACCCATCATGATGGAGTATACCTCCTTGTTCCTATTATCTGTCTTTTATTCACCAGTTGAAGATATGCTGCAAAGCATCATCTATATTCATACTGTCTTAGATAACAAATCTTTTCTGAGCATTTCTAAAATACTTTCAAGTTTAATATTGATTCTGTTAATTATTCATGATTTTCTGTTTCTTTCTAGGCAGAACGTGTTCATGAGTTAAATGAAGAAATTGGTAAATTATTAGCCAAGGTGGAACAACTGGGAGCTGAAGGGAATGTGGAAGAATCCCAG